TACTAGAAGTACTAGTAGAAGTACTAGTGGAGCTTGTACTGCTGGTCGTAGTAGTTGTTGTAGCAATTGAAACTGGTGTCCTACTTTGACTATTCAAATACCAAATATTAAAGGTATTACCAACATCATTTCCTTTAGGGACAATCTTATTGAACATCTTACTAATTCCATCAGCTGAAATAGATGTCAAATAATTATTATTATTATTAACAGAAACAATAAAGTAATTATAAGTTGATTCATAAGTTAACCAAAAAGCAAAGTAACCTTTAGGATAAGTAGAACAATATGGACCACATTGAGGAGATCCTACCACATTCTCAGTATTATTTAAATTATTCCTAAATGTCACAGTCTGATTACTATATTCCAATGATAATACAACTATATCAGATCCATCATCATTAGTACTCATAAATTCATATTTGTAATTATAATTATTTATGTTATCATTCATAGGTACACCAGTACTAATCATTACAAATAAAGTCCATCCTTGTTTAAAAACAGTACCATCTGGCATAATCTTTGCAGAAGTACCATTACAAGTTGAGAATAAATAAAGATTACATTCTGAAATACCATCTACAATATGATTTGGTTGAAATGGATTTAATTCATTTGGATCTGGATGATCTGGATTCTTTTCAAATTGTCCAGTTGTAGAATTATAATGATAATTTTCTGGAGTATTTGTATTATCTCCATTTATTGGAGCTGGATGAACTCCTGGTGGGAAAAATGGATAACTTTCTCCATATTTATCATTAGGATTATATTTTCCACTATTTTGATCTTTTTCTGGAAAATAATATCCATTATCAGGAGTAGATGTTGATTCATAACCACCATCTTGAAATTGAGGAGATAATTCTTGAATAAATCTTGAATAATTTGGTTTATAACCTAAAGGAGATAAATATTTAAATCCTCCAAATTGATTTGAATTCTTTATATAACAAACTGTATAATTTTTTTTTTCATTATTATCTATTATATTCAAATATAAATTCATATCATAATCTATTCCTATTGACCATATTATTAAATCACCAACATTTACTTGTGAATTATTAGGATAAGGACCAGAACAAGCATTTGAATTAACTAAATCCTGTATAGCTACTCTATTATCAAAGAAATAAACTACTAATATATCTTCTATACCATTATTTAATGTATATATATTAATTAAACTATTTAATGAATAAAAATCACCCCAAGTTCCATTATTTACATTAGTTTGAGCTAATATAGTTTCCATTTTCCAACTTATTCCTGGTGATTTTTTTAAACATAATCCTGTTAATACTTGAGAACTACATTCTAATGATTTAACCTTACATTCTCCATTAAATGAACATGTTTCATAACCCAAGTATAATAAACCATTTGGATATAAGAAATTATCTAATAATACATAATCCACATATTTATACATAATTGGCCCTCTTGCTCTTACTTTATTAAATGTATAATCTGAATGAGTTTGTATTTCTATTAAACTACTTGAATATTCATTTAAAATAAATAATCCTAATTTACTCCATCCTATTCCTATCTTAAATTCCATTCCATTATATGCTAAACTTTCATTTGTATAATATGAATAATATTCTTGATCTTTAGTTAAATCATAAACACCTATAAATGTTTCATTTAATAATAATGTCATCACATTTTGATTATCATTCATTATATCATATCCCATTAAATTTTTACTATCCAATAATAATCTACCCTCAATTTCATTACCTAATGTTCCATTTATCCATAATAAATTACCATGTACAAAAGGTGTATCTAATACTCCATTAATTCCTCTACATGGTTTATTTATAATAATTGGACATTCATCTAATTCTGAATCATACCAAGGTATTTCTGTAGTAGTTGATGTTGTACTGGTGGTAGTAGTAGTAGTAGTAGTAGTAGTTACAGCAGTAGAATCTGGTATTTTTTTCATTTTAGTTAGTTGCCAAACACTATATGTTTTAGAGATATCACCTCCTGTATTTGTATCTATCTCTGGAACAATTTTATTAAAAGCTAAATCTTGAGTCATTTCAGCTTCTATTTCTATTAATTTTTTAGAATTACTATCTATTGAGATTACATATTTATTTGTATCAATATCATAAGTTAACCAAAAAGTGAAAAATCCATTTGGATAAGTAGAACAATATGGACCACACTGAGGAGATCCTACCATATTTTCAATATTAGTTTTCTCATTCTTGAATGTTATTGTATCATTATTAAAAGAAAGAGACAAAACAACTTCTTGAGTATTTACTCCTCCAGTTGAAGTATTATCTTGATATTTTACAAAGTTATATTTATAATTAAAAGCAACATTATTAGATTGATCTGGATATTTTGGAATCCCTGTTGCCAAAATTACAAATAAAGTCCATTTTTTCTTAAATATGGTATCTGGTGGAATAATCTTGGCAGAAGTACCATTACATGTTGAAAATAAATATAAATCACATTCTGAAATACCATCTACAATATGAGTTGGTTGAAATGGATTTAATTCATTTGGATCTGGATGATCTGGATTCTTTTCAAATTGTCCAGTTGTAGAATTATAATGATAATTTTCTGGAGTATTTGTATTATCTCCATTAGTTGGAGCAGGTTTTAATCCAAGTGGAAACTCTGGATAATATTGTCCATATTTATTTTCAGGTTGAAAGACTCCAGTATCATTATTTTGATCTGGAAAATAAAAACCATTGTTTGGTATTGATGTAGTTTGAAAACCACCCTCTGGTAAACCATTCTTTTTTTGAGTAAATATAGCTTTAGAAGGAGCATAACCAAGAGGATAAACTGTAGATATTTGAGATCTTTTACCTGTATAAGGCATAGAACAAATTGTTCTGAACTGAGAAGGATTATCCTGTGTAGCAGAATTAAAGTATATCATCTTAGAATTTTCATTAAATCCAAAAGACCAAATGAATTTCTTTCCATATGTTATTTGGACTGCATCTGGATAAGCTCCAGAACATGTAATATTATTATCAACATCTTCAATAACTATTCTATTATCAAATAATAAAACATTATAAAGTATTTCTGAAGAAGTACTTAAAAAATAAGTATTCATAAGACCATCTAAAACAAGACTTTCACTCCAAGTTCCATTATTGATATTTGTTTCAGAGATCTCAGTTTCAATTATCCATACCCTGTTACTATTAGGATTTGGACACAATCCTTTAAGGACTTGGGAAACACAAGAAGTAGTTTCTAAGATACAATCTTCATTTAAAGAACAAGTTTCATAACCAATAAACAAATAGTTTATAGGTAGAAGAAAACCATTTTCAAGTTCAAAGTTAGAGACTATATCATGACTGGATAATGGAAAAGCTTGATTAAAGGAAAGATCAATACCATTTGAATTTAAAGTAATCAAAGATCCAAGATTTTGATTTAGAATAAAATAACCATACTTACTTCTTGCTACTCCAATTAAAATTTCTCTTCCTGAATAACTTAATGTATAATTTGTATATGGTGAATAATACTCATTTTCAGCATTTTCTATATGTACTAAAAGAAACATTTCATCAAAAAGCAAAGAAAATACATTTTGGTTATTCTTTTTAAATTGTATTCCTTGCCAATATAATTTGTTATTTACTCGAATTTTTGGATCTGAAATTTCAAGTGTTGTATTAATCCAAAGAATATCTCCTTCTTGTATTTCAGGTAAAACTTCTACATTGGTTCCTCTACAAGGATCAGATCCTTGAGAAACTATACAATTTTCTACTATTTGATCCTGCCAAGGTGCTTTTGTAGTAGTAGTAGTGGTAGTAGAAACTTCAGTAGGTTGAGTTTTGGAACCAAATAATTTCCATATACTATACATCTCTGACTCAGGAACTCCCTGACAAGCCTGACATGGCCTGACTTGGTGAAATTCCACTCCTCCTGAGTCAATTTCAACCAATTTTTTTGAGTTATTTTCAATAGAAACAATGTATTTGTTGGTAATAGAATCATAAGTTAACCAAAAAGCAAAGAAACCTTTTGGATATGTAGAACAATATGGACCACATTGTGGTGATCCAACAATATTTTCTGTATTATTCTTTTCATTCCTAAAAGTTACTGTCTCATTAGATATTATCAAACTTAATACTAATTCTTCTTTACCATTTTCTGTATTGATAAATTCATACTTATAATTAAATGGATTAGATTCTGAAACTTTTGGTGGAATTCCAGTACTAGAAATCACAAATAAAGTCCAGAATTCTTTAAAGACTATGTCTTCTGGTATAATCTTAATGGATGAAGCATTACAAGTTGTGAATAAACTAAGCTCACACTGTGGAATACCATTCACAATATGGGTTGGTCTGGAAGGATTTTCCAAATCAGAATTCAAATTGTTTTCATCTTTTTCAAACTGACCAGTTGTAGTATTGTAATGATAACCTGGAGGATTATTTAAATTATCGTCAGTTATAGGAGCAGGATGAATTCCTGGAGGATAATAAGAAAAACTATCACCGTAAACAATATCAGGAAGATATTCATCTTTTGAGACATCATAGATTGGGAAGTAATATCCAATATCACCTTTAGAAGTAGATTCATACCCTCCCTGTTTGAAAGAGCCAATCTTTTGAATAAAAATAGAATTACTTGGATTAAAACCACTTGGTGAAATAAAATCCAAAGAATGAATACCTTCAATTAAAGACATAGAACAAACTGTAAGCATATTACTATTTGTATCATTTAAAACATTTAAAACATTCAAAAACAAGTACTTCTTTGAATCCAAGCCTATAGACCACTCTAAGGTTGAACCTAAATCCAAAGTCTTCCCATTAGGATATGGTCCACCACAAGAAATATAATTAACCATATCTTCCAGTACTATTCTGTCTTTATATAAGTAAATTGTATACATATCTTTATCTCCATTTCCAAGATGGAATATATTAAAGAGATCACTTTGAATTAAAGGAGTTCCCCAAGTTCCATTATTGACGTTAGTTTCTGAGATATTTGTTTGAACAGATATCTCAGTACCTGGTTGAATTGGATTACACATTTCAACCATAGCTTGAGATTCACAAGATTTAGAACTTGTCTTACAGTCCTCATATAAACTACAAGTTTCATATCCTCTGAATAATATGTTCTTTGGATATGTAAATTTGTCCTTGAGTAAAAAATTGGAAATATGATCTGGAACATTTTCTTGTGTAATCTGATTATAATCTAAAGTCTTGATACTTGGATCATGGATTAATGCATTAAAGTCTTTATTCAACAAAAAGAGACCAAATCTATTGAATGCTAAACCAATTGTGATATCCATTCCTTCATATAACAGATGCTGGTTAGTATATCTTGAAGAAAGAGTTTCTTGACTGTTATACAAATAAATAGCCACTGATGTTTCATTGAAAAGCAAAGAGATCACAGAATTAGAGTCATTTTTCTTAAAGTTATAATTAAACCAATAATCATTTCCATCCAACTGTATTGGATTACTTGATTTTCCCAATAGAGTATTAATCCAAATAATATCTCCATTATTAAGAGGCTTATCTAAGATTGCATCATTTCCTCTACAAGGTTGATTTAGCTCTAAATGACATTCATCTTTAATATCTTTGTCCCAAGGTATCTTTGTAGTAGTAGTAGTAGTAGTAGCAATTTCTTTTGGAGAATCTGACATATCCAACAAATTCCAAAGGACATAAGTCTTAGTGGGAACAGGATTATGTACTGAATCCCCTATACTTTCCACCTTGGTGAAATTTCTATTATCAGATTCAAATTCTACTAAGAGAAGTCTATTATAGTCTACACTTAAACTGAACTTGTTTTCAGTAGACTTCTTTTGTAACCAAAATGTAAAGTAACCTTTTGGATAAGTTGAACAATATGGACCACATTGAGGAGATACTGCTATTGCAATTTGAGATGAATCAGAACCAAAAATAACTATAGAAGAGTTAGAAATGTTTATAGTAAACTTGATTTGATCTTGTTCATCTTTGAATTTAAATTGAAAGTTAAAGTCAGGTTTTGAATCTTGAGGATAAGTTGGTATTCCTGTTGAAACCATAACAAATAAGCTCCAATCTCTCTCCTCTAGATTATTCATTGAAGAAAGTAAAGAAACATTGGTTGAGTTACAGAAAGAATAGATTTCTAATTCACACTCGTCAATTCCTTCTGTTAATTGGAAAGGAATAGGAGGTCTTAATGAGTTAGGATCCTCAGAAGATCCTAAAGGTTCATACTGACTTGTTGTTTTGTTAAAGAAAAAGCCAGGAGGAGTTTCCAGGCCCTGACTATCAATTGCTGGAACTCCTACTGGTAGAAATGGAAGATTCATACCATAAGGAGCTGAAGGAATATACTCCTGGCTGGTAGTATTAAATTCTGGATGATAAAATCCATAATTATTTTGCAAGCTTGATGTGGATTCAAATCCTCCAGTTGGGAAACCAGATCCAAACTGCCTGAAAACACTGACTGCTGGTGTTGAACCAACTGGTAGTATTGATACAAAAGGTATATCTTTTCCAAAATTCTTAAATCCACAAATTGTATAATGTTTTTGATTTATTTGATCAAAAAATCCAAGAAAAACCATATCATTTGAGTCAAAACCAATACTCCAATTTGCATTACCTCCTTGTGGTGCTGGTTTATTTGAGATATAAGGACCAGAACATGAAAGATTATAATTAGGATCCAAAAATACTATTTTATTACGAAAGAAGTGAATTATAAATTTGATATTTGGATCTCCTAAAATGATATAGGAACCAAGTAGATTATCAAAGACAAACTCTTTTCCCCAATCACCACTAGAGAGATTTGTGTCTAAAATTTTTGAACTAATCAACCAATATAAACCTGGAGTAGATCTTGGACATGGATATTCTAAAACCTGACTTGTACATGTTAAAGTTTCAAGACCACACTTTGACTCAAAAGAACATGATTTATAACCTTGTACAAGTGTTTCATTAATTGAAAGAGGTTTAGAATCAAGCATAAAGTAGGAGAAAATCTCTTTTCTGTTATTTACTATATAATTAGTTCCAGAGATCTCTGAAGAATTGAAAGGAATATTTAAAAGCAAATGACTAAACACATCACAGAAATAAATTTGGTCTGGTGTTTCTTCCAAAACTCCAATTCCCATTCTATAATTCATTCCAGGTGCTACAACAGTTTTATTGGGATAAAATGAAACTGCTAATGTATTACTTACAAGATCTTTAACTTGAAACTCCTTACGACCAAAATTGATTTCTATTAACTCTGTGTTATTCTCTTTCTTGATGATATATGAGTCATAATATTCAAAAGTACTTGAATCTCCCTGAATATCGTTTGAGAAGGTAAAATTAAACCAAATAAGTTTTGACTCTGAACCAAATTGATTGTAAGTTGCATTTAAACCCACACACCAAGTATTGGGATTTATCTCGTCCAGCATACAAGTTAAATGCTTGGATGAAGGTTTCAAACTATCGGCTTCTATAAGCCAGTTATTTAAATAAACTGTTGGATTTGAAATAGAGATTTGATCTGTTGTTATCTCTGATATCTTTCCATTCAAAGAAACTAAAACTCCTTTATATCCTTGAGCCAAATTTCTGAGACGGCTATTTGTATTTTCCGTCTCAAGATCTAAAGATGAAACCAAAATAAAATGATCTTCTTTTGGAGACAAATAAGCAAACAAAGAAAATACAGTAGTACCTGAAACAGCGTTTTCCAAAAGGATATCTGCCATAGAAACATCACTTTGACTATTAGAAAGTTGGAGACTCTTTCCTAAGATACTTAGATTAATTAGATCCTCTTTTTTACTACTTGTTGGGTTTAAAGAAGAATTTGGTGTTATTCCTTTAAAGTTTATATTGTATTCTTTAGACTCATCATAAACAAAGGAGAATTCAAAGACATAGTTATATTTAAAATAAGTATCATTGGGTGAAAGTTGTACTTGGTCATTAATTTTACATCTTTTAAACATCTCTAACATGCATGGATTTGCATCAGTTTCCTGTTCAGGAGGAACCTCAGAAATTGTTAGATTTGCTTTATTCTTTTTGGTAGCTTCAATAATTCCAAGAAAATGACCTACTGGATAAACCACATTTAGTCTAAGATCAGTATTTTTTGGAATGTTTAAACTACAAATTTCTTTGATTCCACTACCTCCCAGATCTGTTAATAAATTGATAGTCGCATTTCCAAGGTAAAAACCCCATTGAAAATTTGAAGGGATGATATCTAAAGAAGAAGATGTATTTCCAAGACCATAACTGTTTCTACAGACAGTACCATCTAAAAGATACTGTATAGCAGCATAGTCTTTGAAAAAGTAGAAAGCAAAGATATCAAAGAATCCATCATTCAATTTGTAGGCATGAACGAGGTCAGGAATTTCAAAGGACCTACCAAAAGTCCCATTGTTTACATCTGTAGCTACTTCAGCAAAAGAGTTAAAGAGCCAAGCAATTCCATCTGGACTTGGATATGGACAGAGTCCACTAAAAGAGTTACCAACACAAGTTTGTTCATTGGTAACTTGGCAGTCATCCTCAAATGAGCATTCTATAAATCCATGATACATAAAGGGATATCTATTAGACTCATAAATTGAGTCCTGTTTAACTCCTTGAAAAACACTCCAAGATCCTGGTTGGAGTAAAGAAATACCTTGAATTGAAACATGTTGAGATGGGTAATCAGGAAAACTTGCAAATATCTGGTCATTCAAAGTAAAATGGATAAATCCTGAAATCCTATTAACTGAGATTGAGATCCAAGAGGAGACTGACATTAGAGCATCATTTCCATAGAGATTCCAGATTTCCCTTTTCTCTATTAAGTTCAAAACCCCAAGATGGGTTTCATTAAAAAGTACCACAAATGAGGACATTCCGCCTACTTGGTAACTAATTCCATTGTAATAGGTAGAATTCCCATACTTGAATTCAGGGAAATCTTGGATTGCAAGATAAACTGTTAGTTCATAATTTTCCATAAGGCCAGAAGAATCCTCAATTGTTAAGGAAGAAGAAAGACAGTATGAAGTAACTTTGGTATTCTGACTAATCTCGCAATTTTCTTTATAATCTGATAAAGAATCTTCTGTAGATATTGGAACAACAGAAAGATCTCTGATTTTGGAGGAAGATCTATTAGCATAGAAGCCATTAATTAAAGTTGTACTTGTAGATAAAACTGATCTATTTGAAATCAAAAGCTTATAAATGTTAAAACCTCCCATAGGAACTTTTGCTAAGCTTTGATTACACAAAATCACATACAAATATGGGATTTTAATTTCTTCTTTAATTCCCAAATTCTCTTTAATAAAGATTTCTACATCCACTCCAATAGTGAACTGAATATTACCTCCACTAATTAAGGAGTCTTTGATAGAAGTACATTCATCTGGAATAGAGGAATGGTTAGTAAGAATTCCTACTCCTGGAATATTAGAGCCTAGAAGCACTGAAGGATTACTTCCACCTGAGATATATAACTGAGTATGAATATCCTGGTACTTATTTAAAATAGATATTCCAACAACCAATGGAGAAACTGAGTTTGGATCTAATTCAATTTCGAAATGTACTCCCATATTAGCTTTGAGTTCATAACTAAGCTCCAAATCTAATTGGTCACTTGAGATATAAGGAGTCAAAATACTATAAGTGTGATTTGTAGGAAGAGGCACTATAGTCAAGCTACTGCTTAGATCATCTTGTTCAGTATTCATTGTAATGTCTCCAATAGTAGATGATAGCCCTTGACCATTGGACTCAAAGAAGTAAAAATCAGAGATTATTCTTCCATCAATATTTAAAGAGCAGAGGAGATATGGAGTGTTATTGTCAGAAAAAAATACCAAATCCACTTTCTTGCCATTTGAAAGAATAATACCAAACTTAACATTTGAACTTTGAGTTAGTACTGTCTTATTTGGAAGTTGATTATAGCAAGATTTCCCTGAAAATAGATCATTTAGAGAGATATAACTCTCAAATACATTAATGATAAATAGGTTATTGTTTTGACTTCCTATGGTAAAAACAGATAAGGAGTTTGGAAAGACTCCCAAGTTCAAAGAAGTATCAGTAGAAATTAGAGGACCATTATACCAAAGTTTCATGATCCCTGGATCTTTGCATAATTGTCTTGCACTGGATCCTTTACAAACATAATTCCCAATGTCACACTGGTTAAAAAAGTGGCACTCAAACAGGACGTTCAGGATGGAAGATTGAGTAGAAGTTGTCTTAGGACCAGGAGTAAATGCATAAGACGAGTAATAGTTAACAGAAATCCTATTATCAGAAGATGCTTGGATCTTGTTAATATTGAGATTTTTAGATTCAGGTATAGATGCTATAATGTTATTAGTTTCTGAGTCAACAATAAAGATATCGTTAGCTTGGAATATGATTGAGACGCCTATGTTCTCAGAGTATTGGCTGATAATACTCATAGGTGGTCCAGCAACTGTCTCATAAGTGATTAAGTTGACAATAGAAATAGAGGCTTGGAATATTGAAATTTCGTATACTGGAGTATCATTTGATAAAAGTTTCCATTTATACATCAAATCATCGTTAGAGCTTGGAAAATTAGGAATCTGAATGGTGATGTTATTTATACTCATTAAAGACTCTGTTTGAATTGTTTGATCTGCCTTTGTTTGTTCCTTAATAATAAAGGATACATCCTGAGACTTACAATATGATAGTGGCAAAAGCTTGCAAAGGTTACCAACTTTTGGAGAGATGAATGAAGTACTATCTGTATAATTGGAAACAATAGAAGAAGCTTTTGCTCCAGTTGTAAAAGCATGAGTAAGGATTTCTAAGTGTTTAGGATTTTTCTCAAACTTGATTTTGTTGAAAGGCCTCTCAGGATCAACAGAAACTTCAGCTAACATAAACCATGCTAATTGATCAATCTGATATAAGATTCTGAGTTTATTATCACTTTTTAATGGCTGTAATTGAATATTTATTTTGGATTGAGTCTGGGCTGGATATGAACCAGTTATAATGGTTCTGGTTTGCATATCCTCCAAAGAGATGTATCCCTTAAAAATACCAATTCTGAGTTTTGGATATATTAAGTATTCTGTTTTTTGAATCTGAAGATTGTATGGATCAATCAAAATTTCATCAAATGAAATTGCAAGAAGTAGATCTTCATCTTGAATAGATTCTGGGGACTGGAAAATCAAAGTAACATCAAGATGATAGCTTTCTGTATAGAGAATTTCTGGATAAAATCCCAAAATATCTTGAATCTGAGTGGTTAATGGTGCGGTTGAGAGGATACAAAATGCTTCTTTTTGAATGAAATCTTTTGAAATAACCAGAGTGGATGCTTGAAGTACCTGAATAAGGATCGGATCAGATACACTTCTTGGGGAAGAGACAATCTTTCCGACAGTAGAAAAGTCCTGAGGAAGTTCAGATGAAACCAAGGTCTGACCTTCTTGAGAAACAACATATACCCATTTTTCTTTAAAAATGACTCTAAAGTCATAAATGAACTTCATGTTTCCAATTTCTATTTGGTTATTTAACTCTCCCCAAACCTGGGTCCCAGCTTTCTCTAGATGGATCCCAATCATATTTGGATTAATGAGTATATGCAATATTTTCCCATTAGAAGCTGTTTTATCATAAAATACGAGCTCTGAGAATATTCCCTTTGATGTTCTAAATAAAGACATACCTCTAACTATGAACTCCAGTCCAGAAGTAAATGAGGAATCTGGAAGAGAAAGGACAAACTCTGATGAAAAACATCCTTGAAACAAGCCTAAAGTACAGCTTTGGGAATATTGAAATAGAGGACTTTGCTTAATTATAGAGTTTGTATTATTTGGTTCATATGTAGGAGCAAGCTCAAACTGAAAATCTGAATCAACATGAGTAAAAACTTTTGTAAAGTTAGTTTCCAAGCTATAAGGAAGCATACATATTACTCCCTGATCTGATTCTAAAACCCAGTATCTGTCTGTATATTGATCAGTCCAATAGTTTAAGAAAAAAGTTATTTCATTCCCTGCTGTATAAATATGAGAATCAGCTGAATACTTGCCTGAACAAAATTGTCTTCTACCTTGATCAAACAATACTGCATAATCTGGAAACAAAATACTTGTGATAACGGTTTCATTCTTAAGATTATTAAAAGAGTAAACACCTAGTGAACCATCTTCGTTTAGAGAAGTTGTTTTTGAATTAATCTTTAACTTTTGAGGTTCAACTCTACCAAGTTGAAAAGCTTCAAACTCTTTTAAAGCATATGTTTTCAAAAATATTGCACCAAATATAATTAGAAAAACATTGCATGCCCACTTTATTACAAACATTTTACCTTCTACCTAAATTCAAGCAAAGCTCCTACACTTTACCTGAATTTCTTACTTTGTAGTTTTTTCTACCTACTTATACTCTACACTACCTTCTCACAACTTTAAAACTTTTTAAGTCTTTTCTTTAAATCATTGTCCTTTCCTCACACTTTATACGTACTAGCCACTACATGTCAAGTAAGAAAGTATTTGCAGTAATTTGGCGGGCATGCATGGCATATAATACAATACCGGTACTGGTGCATGCAAAAAAAAACAATGGAACATGTGGTTGAGAGAACAAGTGATATAAATAAAAATGATAATTTCCTCCGAAGCCTAAGTTTATCCTAATTTGAATAGCAAAAAATGGTTAGGTTTTGAGATAGAAATATCTTAATTTGTACTAGACTTAAAAATAGGAATTTGATTTAAAAAACTGTATAATTACTAATAGCTCATTAAATATATCATGTAATCTTCTTCTTGATTTTCATTTCTTTTTTGAGAATGATTTATATTTTGAAAATGTTCGTATGCTTTTTTTCTGAACTGGATCTCCAATTCACGTATTTCTTTGATATACTTTTTTGCCTTCCTCCTCTTCTTACCTCTAGTTGAGAGACGAGAGTAGAGAAATGAGACAGTTGGAGATATGACTGGTATTTTTTTTAAAGCTCTTATAATTCTATTCTTTTTTTTACTTCTCTTTTGGATTTTTGTAACAGGGTCTAAATCCCCATTCAAAGACCTTTTCTCCAAATCTCTGTTTTTCGTTAATTTCTTTTTTAATTTTGTGCTGCCTTTAACTTGAGGAATGCTTTGCTCTTCTGAGCGACTTAAATCGCTGTTTTCGCTTGTGTATGAAGAAGATGATTCTTCTTCGTACTCAGAGTATTGAGCAATTTTGGGCATTATAGAGTATTCGAGATTCAACATCATGTTCTTGCCACTGAAGGCTTTTCTTTTATTTTTCCTTGCTTTGTTTTTTCTCCTTTCTCTTTCCGCAATCTTCTTTGCTAGCTTTCTTGACATTTTTCTCCCCTCAATTGTGGAAGTATACATTACAAGCTGTTCAATCCTATCAGACCCTTGTCTTCTACAGAATCTATTAAGTCCGGCGGTCCCTTTAGAAACATAAACTGTTAGAAAATCTCTCAGTAACTTTACCAATTCTTTTTCATTTAGATTGTTTTTTGAAGAATTCAATGTTTCCTTTTTAATTAGCTTATCCATCATCTTTTTATTTTTTTTTAATTTAAGTTCTTCCTCCTCCAATTGATTGATTTTCTTCTCAATTCTTTTTAATAATTCCATAGATTCTCTATTTTTCTCTTCTCTCTCCTTGATCTCTTTCTCACTCAACTCTTCCGTTGAATCTTCTTCAAAAAAAGCATCTACTTGATCTTTTTTGTAATTTGAAAGTTTATCCAAAACCTCTCCTGTTGGTTTATTGCATTTATCAGAATTTTCATCATCTTCACATATATCATCGAGAATTGCCTGAGATACAGATTTGTCCAGTTCTACTTTTCTATTAGCCCTATGAATCTTTTTTCCATTACAAATGGCCGTCAAATGCCCTAATTCAGTAACTCCCAAACTCAAACAACTTTCAGATTCCTGATTTAATTCAAGTTTACCCTTTTCAGTTTCACCAAACAAATCAAAGTCCATTCCCCCCAACATCGCTATGTTGTCGATCAATTCCTTTAGCTCACCAATTGGAAGTCCTAAAGTCATTGGAACTATGAACCACCTTCTCTCCAACATTGTATTTAATGGACAATTTTCTATACTTAAAGGAATCTCCAACTTAGGTCCTGATCCTTGATTAATGCTCATATTTTCAAACTTTATTTGATTGTCAATACCAAAGTCTGTATTTTTTTTCTTTTCAGTTCCTTCTTGACTTTCTTTAAGTAGATAGACCCTTAATTCGTCATTTGGAAGTAAACCGCTATTTTCTACTTTATCAGTTTCCTTTAATATTGTATATACTACTTTTTTGAACTCTTTCCCAATGTCAAACCCTGACCCTATTCCCATCTGGTTTACATCTAGTGAAATACCCTGTTTTACTCCATTAGAAACTATATCTTCTTTTAACTTTTTAATACTTTGATTACTTTTTACCATAAGTTGAAAAGGCTCTATTGGGAACTCTTCTCCTTTGTAATTATAAAACATCACATTCAGATTAAACTTTTCAATGATCTCAACTACAAAAATCATCTTGCTAATTCTTTTTTTCTTTCCAACTTTTTTTCCAGTAGAATGATGGCCAATAATGTACTCATTATTCAAGTAAGTATCTGATTCTTTGTCTTTTATATGAACTGTTTTAGCTGGAATAGATTTATCCAGAATCTTCCTTTCTATCAAACTTTCAATCAACTCTTTTACTGTTGTGTTCGAAAGTATCTTTAGCCTGTATTCAAACAAAGACTCATCATTCAAATCTGAATCCTCCTCGCTTTTTTCTGATATTTCCTCGCCTATCGAATTTGAAGGAATCATTAACATTATCTCAACACTTTTTGTTGGTAAAACCTCTATAAATACACCTACATCATTTCTTTCAGAGTGAAATGTTAAATATGTGATTGAAGATGGAGTCTTTGGAACTGGTAAGTACTCAATTAACTTTTCGTTTTCTATATTTTTTTGGACTCCAATTATCAGGTATTTGGATAGCTCATTACTGTAATTCAAATAAACCATCTTTAGAAAATCGAAAACTGAAATGATCTCTGGGATCTCTAGATTCCTAGTAAACAGAATTTTGTCATCAATCTGATCTTCAGATTCTTTGCTTATGGTCAAGTAAACCAGAATCTCAACTTTTACTTTTTTAGGTTCTTTCATTGTTAAATTCATCCCTTGGTAATATATTTTTGATGTACTTATTGTTTCATGATCATTTGGATCCAAAATTATACTATCTTCTTTATTATTACCTTCATAAACTAATAAGCAGTTCTTTTCTTTGTTTCCCCTAGAATTCCAAACTAGCTGGGCTTGAGAATATAATGATGCTATTGTAGTTAAAGAAGGATCCCCTTTTATTTCGTATTCTATTTTCCCTACCTGGTTTAGAAATTTTACAATTGGGGAATCAAGATCTTTTCTTCTATCTGGTATTGCCTCAAAATCAGAATCAATAGTTTTTACTTGATTGTTGCTATTAAATACTAAATCTTCAATATCCTTCTCATCCTTTTTCTCAAAAATCTTGCTCAAATCCTGTCTCATACTTAATTCGCTATAATCGACTTTGCTGTCTTCCTCCTGGCCTCCAAAGACTGTTACATAAATTACAAAAGGTCTATTTTTTGAAATATTTACCCCTTCAGGAACGAAATCTTTTAACTCTACTTCCTCAGTTTGATCAACCTCTCTCCCCTCCTCATTTTGAATCGCAATTCTATCTCCCTTTGAAATTAATGCATTTTCTGTACCTGGAAATGTTATTTTATATAATCTTTCAAGTAAATCTCCTACTTTTGAGTCCTCATTCAAATTGATTAATTTGCTTGGAACTTCTTTTATGTTCGAGAATACGATCATTACTGGGAAATCCCCCTGACTTCCTGATTCAAACCCTTGAAAATTATCTTCCTTAAAACTATATGACTCATTATTAATCTCTGTATCTTCATTTTCCTCATTACTTAAGCTTAAATCTCTTATCTTTATTTTTATCAAATCACCATTCTCTAAATCTGACATTTTATTCTGTTCTTTGCTATTCATCTGTATTTTTAACTCTTTATTTGGGTTTCTTAACGTTTTAACTGACTCTATTGAAAATTCCAGAGGATTTGCAAAATTTTCTATTACTTTCTTTAACTCTCCAAATGTCATTGGAAACTTTTCTCTTACAGAAACTGTCTTTGGAACCTTTGATGGATTAATAAACACTTCATCATCTATTGAAGAAAAGCCTAAAATTAGTATTCCTTCTTGTGTTTTCAAATTATAATCCTCTTGTTTTCCAAACATATCAATCTGAGTTTCCGTTTTACTCTTATTCTGTGAATTAAACTCATCTTTCAAAATAAACTCTATTAATATGTCTTCATTCTCTGCAACCTTGAATTCCGAAATTGAATGACTGAATTCTGATTTCTCCAATTCTATTTCATTCACTCTAACCTTTAATCCATCTTCAACTTCTAATCCAAATAAACTTTTTAACTTTGTTTCACCTATTATCAAATAATCACTTAATGGTTTTCCTTCTATTATTTGAAATGACTCCTCCTCTAAACCTGAGTATAGCGGGTATTTTAATATGACTTTTGCATGTTCATGTAAATCTTTGCATGTAGCCACATGCACTTTAAAAAATAGTGCCGGAATTATAGTTAAAAAAAAAAAACACGTAATTGTTTTATATTTAGATTCCATTGGAATTCTCTTTTTTTTTTTTAAAGATATTCAAATGAAAGTTTTTTTTTGTGAAGAAAAAGAAACGTTTAGGTTATTTGATTTCCAATGATTAAATTTCCCATATATTATCACTACTTTTCTAATATTAAAGAAAAAATTTTCCTAGTTTTCAAAGCTTACACACAAAATTGCCCCTATTTTTCTTTTAGTGTGTACCAAGCTTAGAGATCACCCCTAATAAATTAGGAAAATATTAAAAATTTTTACTTTTATAAACAATAATTTAAGTATTAAATATGTGAAAAAATCCAAAAAATCTTCTTATTTATAGCCCTAATCTAATTATTATTATTAATACAAGTATTTTTATTTTTTTTTTGAATAAATGTACTATCCAAACTTGTTATATATCATTTTTCATATTTAGTAGTTTTTTTGACAACCTTAATCACCTTAATGATCGTCATAATCATCATCATCATCATCATCATCATCATCGTCATCGTCATCATCATCATCAGATTCTTCGTGGTTTAGCTGAGGAGGTGGAGAAATGTACTTTTTACTAGGTTTGTTTTCTTTCTCAGGAAGCTGGAAGCGGACTGCCTTTTCTTTTAAATTCTCAAAACTATTTTCTTGGTTTTGATCCTCCAATAAATCATTAGCTTCAACTTTTCCTGGAACATATATAAGTTTGTTTAATTCTTTATTTTCAGATTCATTTTTTTTATTGTCGTTTTCGGAGCCTTCTTTTGTAATTTCAGAAAAGCTGATTCGCCTATCTTTATTCGGATTAACTCCAATAACTTTGAAATCATTTAAGTCACTCAGAGGGGCAAATTCTCTGGGTATAACAGGATTTATGCGTTTTTTTGGGTTCATATGGAGTTTATAGGCACTAGAAACTCTTTGCCTATCTGACTCATCTTTAAGTTTTGTCTTTCCGTGGCTTCTAACTTTTCTCTTACGTTTCTTTTCCTGAATTATTTTCATAAATTCTTTAAGTACTTGTTTATTATTAAAATCATTCAGGTAATAATCTTCTCTAGCTTCTTTCGGGTCGATCTTATTTCGAGGATTTAAGTTATAATTTGGTATAACTTTATGAACTCTTCCAACATTAACATAATAGACTTTGTCATTAAATGGTTGTTTTACGTTTAAAGGATCAAGCTTTACATCATCGTTTAGATTACCATAGATTTTGCCAAAAGTTAACTTATGAGCAAACTCCTTCTTTATTCTCTTTTTGTAAGGAAGCTCTAATAATCCATGTCTATCATAGCCTCTTGGAACTTTCTCATCATCAGATTTTGGATGACTCATTTTCCAATTTGGGTCATAGATTTCTGGAATCACATAAACTTCATTTAAAGGTACAAGCTTATCTGGATTTTTAACTTTAGATCTAAAATTCATATCCATATTTATTCTTGGTGTTTTATCTTCATGAATTCGTTTTTCACAATTTTCCGAGCATTTATTTGGATAAATATTCATCTTAAGACGTCCATAGTAATTTGTTGGGCCATTAATTAGCAAATCTTTCTTATGTTTCTTGTTTTTTTCTTCAAATTCACCATTTAATCCCAATTCCTTGTTTTCACCAAATAGTTCTCCTTTTAAAACTTGTTCATCCTGAATATAACTTATCTTCCTCAAATAATCTTCTTTTTCTCCTAATGGTTCTATAGAGCCTAAAATTTTTGAAGGTTCTTTTTCATTTAAGGATAGCTCCTCAATTTTGTTTTCCAATTTTGGCATTTCCAAGTATTCCGGAAGATTGGATTTAGGAGGAAGTGTCAAAAGTTTCGGTAGTACTGCTCCTTTTCCCATAAAGACTTCTCCATATTTTGGAATTGAAGTCTCTACTATAAAAGCTGAAGTGGGGACCTCTTTATAGAGCTTTGGCTCTCTGGGATTTTCTGGAGGAGGGGGTGGAGGAGGAGGAGGAGGAGGAGGAGGTGGTGGCGGAGGTGGAGGAGGTGGCGGAGGTGGCGGAGGTGGAGGTGGAGGAGGGGGAGTTGGGGAAGAAGAAGAAGAGGAAGGAGGTGGAAGTTGAGGTGAGGGAGGAGGGGAAGGAGGAGGAGAGGAAGAAGAGGGAACTGGGAGTGGAGGTGGTGGCGGTGGTGGAGGTGGAGGAGGGGGAGTTGGGGAAGAAGAAGAAGAGGAAGGAAATGAAGGTAATTGCGGAAAAGTTTCCAGATATTTGATCTCTGGATCCTGAGCTTCCAAAGTATTTAGAGAATCTTTTCCTCTCATTTTTCTACTTGTTCCAGGAATAGCATAGTTGGAATACTGGAACTTAATTTGAGTAGTACCATGAGCATTTTTCTTTTCGTCTGGACGGTCCTCCCTATCTTCAAGGTCTTCCTGACCTTTGGTAATACCAAATAAGCTCTCAAAATCTGAATTTCTTTTAAGTTCCTCTAAGGCTGAGAGTTTTTGGAATGTCTTAAGGTCTTGATTCATCCATAATTTATAAAAACTTGGATTTTCAATCATTTGAGATGCCTCCACATGTTCTTTTCCCTTATCAAATCTTTTCAATATCTCCTGCAAGGGCACTTTACCTTCCTTTGGAGCAATTTCTCCTTGAGAAATTCTTTCTAAATACTCCTTTTCTTTTTCATTAGCTTCTTTTCTTTTCTGGTCAAGCTCTTCCATTTTAGCTAACATATTTTCTCCTCGACATCTCACATCTATGGGTAAGTTGGATCTTGTAAGTTTTCTTATCTTAGGAGGAGTAACACTCAAAGTTTTGCATCTATTAATGAATTCCTCACGGTTCTTTTTTATCTCGAAATAATGTTCAACACTTTTAATGCAAAAATCTCTAAGGTTTTTGTAAGTTTCTTGCTTTTCTTCACTGGAAATTGGAGGAGAAAATTTAAGTTCTTCGCCAATCCTAATCATCCCAGGTATCAATTTGGGGTTCTTGTACTTTTTCTGGCTTTCTTGTTGATTCCATTGATCTTTCAAAAGGGATCTTATTGTTCTAAAACATGATTTAAAAAACTCTGACTTATTTTCCTCACTACAAATAAAACTCTTTGGAACTTTTGGAGGAAGAAATTTTACCAAACTAGTGTCTTGAAGGGATCTTTCATATAAAAAATCCCAGAGTTTAATCTTCTTGGTGTTTTCTTGATCATTTAATATATTATGTTCCTTATTCTCTTCTGCTTGTGGGAGATTAAAGTAAATTTGTATTATTATCAAAAATAATAATAGCTTATCGAATGTTTTAAAATAACCCATACTTTCATTTATCTGCAATTATTAACATTAAACTCAAATTTTACTTCAATTCTACACTTAGAAATTTATCAATCAATTCTCGGTATTATTTTAATCCTTGGGTAAACTTTAAAAGAAAAAATGAACTCTTTTAAATCAGTCTTTTTGAAAAATTTAAATCTTTATCCAAAAGTTGGTGATCTTCCCATCTTCTCCCTATTTTCTTGATTTTTTTTTTTATTTCCAACTTATTTTTTTGATCTTGTACTTATTTGCATTTATTACTTTTGCATGTTCCCGCTCAAAGTGCCCTCTAATGCAAAAGTAGCGCCACATGTTGCATGCTGGGCGGCATATAGTGAGAAAAAGGAAATAAGGAAAGAGAAACTGATTAAAATCACTAATTAAAAGCACTACAGTCACAATACTAATTTAGGGTGGGGGGGTTAATAAACGATATTTCTTTAAGGAGACCATCCGAAATGTGGTAGATTCTCTTACATTTTTTGATAATGTTGATGTCGTGGGAAATAGTGATCACTGCACAATGAGAACAATAAGTAGAGATGATATCGATGATTTGCATAGTTTGCTCATTCATTGATGAGTTCTTGGAGAGTTCATCCTGGAAAATGATTGGTTCATCGATAAGAATTAGATTGTAGTTTTTAGAGTAAAGGACTATTCTGCATGTATAGAGGAATCTGAGGTAAATTTCAGAAATGACAAATGGCGGGGGTTCATTGGAGATTTTAAAGCTACTTAGGCATAAGGGAGAAGCACATAGCCTTGGTTTGCGGGATTCACTGATGTTGATTGGATTCTTTTGTAAAGAAATCTTGGAATTGATTCCATTGAGTGTGTTAATAACATATTTGTAGATCCCACAAATTTTAAGTACACTATGAACTTCGTTGTCACTATACTGAAAGAATGGATCAATAACATCTCTGACAGTACAATTGGGCAGAATGCACATTGCCTGAGGAATTACCCCAATTTTGTTTCTGAGAATATGCCTTGGGATTAAATGAATTGACTGACCAAGCAGAGAAATTGCTCCCGAAGTAATTGGAGAAATTTTTAAGATAGAGTTGAAGAGTGAAGATTTTCCGGATCCTGTTCTTCCGATAAGACCAACAACTTCTCCACTGAATGCTTTTAAAGAGATATCTTTTAGGATTGAATTCTTACATAGTTCTCCTTTATCAGGAACTTCATAGTCAATAAAGACATTTGAAATAGAAAGGACAGGATTTCTGTGGTTGGATAGGTCATTCGCAGAAAGAAGGGAAACAAATATGTTGTCATAAGTCTTCTTGAAATTGGTATGTTCTGAATCCTTGTTTAAGAACAGAGATCTACGTGAGGAATTGCTCTTAAGTTTAAGAAGCATATTCTTCTCAACCTTATCTTCCTCGTGGCGTAGATAATTACGGTCTTTGTCATTTTTTGAAATTAAATTCACTAGATCGTTAATCCTTTCAATACTACACATTTCCTTCTCGAGCTGGATATAGTCTGCCATTAAACATGTTGCATTCTCTGCCAAAGAAAGGCATTTTGAGATTCCCCAAGCAATTGTAATTGGCTGAGAGAGTAAGTTCAAATAAAAGAGAAAGATCGAGTTGGAACGTTTATTCTCAATTGAACTCAGTGTAAACGGGGTAACGTATGGAAAGATTGAATTAATTATGGAGATGGGAAGAATGAAGAACTGAATTCTTGTGTTACACCAAATTAATGATGTATGCTGTAGAAGTCTGATTCTTTGCATAAATTCAAGTATGTTTAGAGCTGTTTTTTCAAAATATTCGCTATTCTTGAGCAGAAATATGGTCCTAGATCCTTCCAAAGTAGATGACATTATGGAGCATATTGGGGAAAATGCAATCAAATTAATTCTTTGTAGGTTTCTGCTAGCTGCAATCATGGGAAGAAAGATTCTGAAAAAAACCAGTCCCATCATTACGAGGAAAATAGGCAAGGTCCAAGGAGCAAGGGTTATTAATATACATATGTTCATCACAAGAGACACAAGACCCCAGGTTACTCTTCCAAAGCTCCTCATCGTATTCCAGTCGATTAAGATAATGTCAGTTGAAAACTTATTGAGAATCTGACCAGCAGATATCTTCATTAATGTTGGTATGGATGAATTAATTAGGACTTTATACAGCAAGTTGTTGTGGAAGAATTTACATGCTTGAATACAAGCTACAGCTTCAAATATATATGTACCAAAAGTACTCATAATAATAATAAATAGCATTAAGCCAAATGATCCAATTAGTTGATTTGTATCCAAACTTAACCGGCCATTTCTACTCATATGAACTCCCAGAATGTACTCAAGAGGACCTTTGAACTTATCTAGAACAAATCTAGAAACATGTTTTCTCAAATCAATGTTTCTAGAGGGTCCATATGGCATTACATTCATGGGAGCATTACCTTTAATAATATCAAGATCTTTAGCCTGATTATTTGTCTCACAAATAAGATCCAAGAAATATGTGAAACCAAACTGGCTTAAGATACCTCCGAAAACTGTAATTAATACACCAATAAATATCAAAAATAACATAATTTTATTAACACTTGATAGGTATGAACCATAAGTTTTGCTACTAACAGAACCAATCTCATTGATATCTTCCAAAAGCGGTAAGATTTCTTTAGATTGGATAGCTTTAATTAAATCAGACTCAGAAATAAACTTATCCTTGGAACTTGTTTTGCCACTAAACGAAACCATTTTTTGAAGATTGCTGTCGCAGAGAGGGTATTGTTCATTCTCTGAAACATTTAAAGAATATTGAATTGGAGAATCCTGTTTATTGTTTCTAAATATCTCTTCGTCTTCACTTATCTGGTTTTCAATAGATAAGCTGGGATTATTATTGGCAAAAGCAAAGTTTTTGGAAACGTTTCCATCAATAAGATTCTTTTTGAATATTGTAAATCCTTCAGTAATACCATCATTTCTAAATTTGTACTCTCTAATCGAGCAGGAAAAAGTTCCTACTGATTTAGAAAATAGTATCTCTTTTAAAACTGGGGAAATAATTAGGATAGTATTAGCATCTTGAAGTATTGCTTCTTCACCTGTGAATAGTCTGAGCATTATATTAATTGCAACGGGAATATCAATTGACCTGAAGCAGTTATCCAAAATGAAAAGATGATCAAAGTCCGCGTCATTTTGAGAGTTTACAAGGTACTTATATACGGCTCTGGCAAGGCCAATTCTTGCAATCTGGCCTCCACTAAGTCCTTGCCTTCCATCAACAAATCTAAGATCTTTGTCTTTCCAGGAAAAAATATCAGCATTAAGATCGCAGGCAAAAAGTGCCAGCTTATATAGATTTTTGATCATTGGAGATCCACAAAGTATTATTGATCGAATTGTTCCAGATGGTATCCAAGGATCATGAGAACACCAGAAAATAGGCAAACATGATATTCTCCTAATATAAAAGATAGACTCGGTACAATTGCTAATTTTCGGTCCAACTTGACACCCATAATCATTATATCCAAGAATTGCTTGTACAAATATTTGAAGTCTTTCTGAAGAATGATCCTCTATCACAGTCATACAGCTCCTTTCCACTTGGAAGAGGTTAATATTTATTCTATCTTCAAAAAGATCGTTAATGAGTTCCACATTCTTGATTAAAACTACGGTGCTATCAGAGATGTTTCTGGCCTTTTGAATACCAATTTCTTCATTAATATTGATATTGAAACTGGAACCTGCGAAATCTTCAACACTGCTTTCCTCAAGCATAGAATTAGAGTTAAAGTTTGTATTGCTTTCAAAAGAGCCATTGTTTTGGATTTCTTTTACAGAATTCTGGAATTCCGCGTCTCTACGAAGGCTTTCTTTTATCTCCAAGTTACGCAATATTACATATCTGATTACAGATTCCATACGAATCTTTGAATTATTACCTTCAACTATAGTTGATATTAATAAAGGAAGATCGGAAAGTCTTTGAGAAAACATATCAATTACATAATAGGAAGTAACTATTTTGCTGGTTGGTACTTCAAGACCATAGAGTACCGAGCAAATTAGGACTGTCTTGAAAAGAGTGTATTGAGTAATTAGATTAGCAGTAGAGTATAATACTGAAGAAATAGATTGGAAAACTACAAAGCTTTTACGTGACCTTAACTCATTAATACGGGAGCCGTTGATTGACCAGTAAAACAAGCTTTCCAATCCAAGAATCTTGATAGATGACAATTTCTTAATAGTATAGTCCATAATATTCATTCTTTCATCCCTCCTCACAAGATAATTCCATTTGAAGAAGGCTAAGCAGACTTCCAGTAGAATGACTAGGAGGGAAATGAATATGATACAAAACATTGCTGGCCTGCTTAAAACTGAGTCACCCATTGTTCGTGTCAACATTGTTAAAACCAAAATCATTCTAATAGGAATAATAACTATGTCGACTAAAGATACTATAACTTTGACCACAATATTCATGTCAATCAAGATGCTGTTGTAGATGCTGGTAGTGTCTTCTCCTTTAAAATCATTAGTGTCTTGGCCTATTTCAATTCTGTTTATACCTCTCGAAAGCACTGACCTGTATAAAAGGTGAGTAATACTACCTTGAATTCGGACAGTTTGCCTGCATATGTAATACCCTATTTGTGTAGTAGAGATTACGAACAAAATCTGAAGCAAACTAATTACAATAGCTATCTTTATACCTTCTTTCCTCAAAATATAGTATTCGTCATGGTTCTTGTTTAGTTCGGAAAAAGCCTCGATAGTTTTCAAGCTCAACTTCAGCCTATCAGCAATAAAAATCCCCAGTATTTCACAAAAAATCTTGCCAAGAAGAATTCTAAACAAAGAACCTCTCAGAACATTAAATACTGCTCTAAAGATGTTGACATTAAAGTCTTCGTACTTATTTACGTTGGAATTCATTTTCATAATTTCCATCTCGAGTTTATTCGTCCAAAGAATCGTAGAGTCTGATTCAAGAATCTTCGGAAATTCAGATGGATTGTGATTTATTCCTGCTGCTGCATTCTTTATATACTTGTCAAGCCATCCTAATGTAAGTTTGCTCCATAACCCTGCACTCTTTGGGTGACCCCACTTTTGTTTTTCATTAATATTTTTATATAATGTTTCCAACTTTTCCATCTTAGATTTTCGATTGCAAGAAACTGACACAGCTTATTTATTCTTTGGGTCTTTTATTTCGATAGAAATTTCTCTAGGCATAGACACTTTTACCTTAGATTATAAATGAATTACATTAATGGGCAACTCAACTAACTTAAGGAATAATTCTTCAGCCAATCTACCTCAAATTCAACTTGTCTCCTCAAATTATTCCGTTTAAGTTAATAGTTACTTGTAACACAATTTCTAGTAATAAATGAATGTCTAGGAGGCTCTCCCGCCATTTTAGGCGGCTTGCCAAAAATGGGGAAAATTTGACTGCATGTAAAACCGGTATAATAACAAACTTCATGCAATGATACACAGAAAATTGCAAGCATGCAAAAACCGTGTGCAGTTTATATCCTGGATATTCAATAATTAATTTATTAAACATTTTTGGACCCGGACGTTCTTCGGGAAATAATATATAACAGTATGAGAGAAAAAGTTTGAGGACAGACTAGCTGACAGAATATGGAAGGAGATTACATTTGAATTTAAAATATAAATTAAGAACTAAGTTATTAAAAATTTACTTTGTGGCTATTTAGAAATACAAATTCGATTCATTAAAAACTTTATAATTTTGTTAAACTTGGAAAAGTTGAAAGAAATAAGGACTTAAATAGGGTGGGAAATTAATAACTGAGGAATTAAGAAAATATGACAAGGAATATAGATTTGGGTAATTCACCATTTTCAGCTTTTGCTTTTTTTAAGATTTTAATCATATTTTCGATTATTTCTGTAAGTCTAATCATTTTGAACCTGTAAAACCAACAATAATTCAATTAAACCTAAAGGGATTTCAATGCCTAATATTGAACAAAAAAAATGTGGAAGAGTATTCAAATGATGAGATGATGGAAATATGTACCAGAACTTGGAATGAAATAGAGAGATTGGGCCAGAAACCAATAATGGACTTTGAACATTGCTTTGGAATGATTGATATGGTATACAAGTCAAGAAGGTAAGAAATGAATTGAGGAAGATATAATGATTCATTTTTAACCTCTATTACGTTTAAAATAATTCCTAGGTTAATGCCAACAGCAGAATTTGACCTGACCCATTATTCTCTATCAAAAAATGAGGTTGAAAATTACGCAAATATTGACATTTATTCAGGGGAGCTCAAGGAAATTACTGGTGAAGATGTAAGTTCAAAAAAATCTAGATTCTTCTTTATTTTGATTCTGAAACTTTATACAATTAGCAAAATAAGATTGATTCTTTATTATTGAATAAAAGTGAACCAAAAAGAAGTTTGGCATTAAAGTAAGTAGAGCTCACTTAAAGAGTCATAATATCTAATAAAACTAAAATGAACTAACTCTTCACAATCAGGATTCCAGAAAGTTATGATTTAAGAAGTAATGATGCCAATCGGAAAAGTGGCGGAAGCTGTATTACTTTTCCAGATAACCAAGGAAAATGTGCAAATTGTTATAATTTCTCGGCTTTATCTGCAATAGAAGGGGCAACATGTAGGCAATTGGGAAAATTGATTCCCCCCCTTTCCCAACAGCATTCTCTTGACTGCTGGCTTCAAAGTAAGGGTGCAGCAAAAGCTTGTAGTGGCGGCCAGACTTTTGAAGTATTTAACTATGCTATTAAGTCAAAGGTATGTACAAAAGACTCATATCCACCAACTACATATAAAACTGGTAAAGTTGGGGAATGCAAGGCTAATTGTGAAGAGTGCGTAGCAATAAAAAACTTTAAATGGAGCTATACTGGCTCGAGTGTCTTATATGAAGATCCTTGGGATGTGATTACTGATGCAATATATAATTATGGACCAGTTACAGTGAGTGTTTGTTCATTAATGCCTGGTAAGTTTTCTTAAATTAGGTTAATTATTTCTTATACAATTCTCTTAACCTTAGGTTTCAATTTGTATTCTGGCGGATACTATGAACCACCGACTTGTGGAAGTATATGGTGTGGGACGAGACAAGTAGATCATGCAGTAACTTTAGTGGGATATGGAGTAAGTGCTCAGGGAAAGAGGTACTATATAATGAAAAATAGTTGGGGTTTGAGTTGGGGTAATAAGGGTTTTATGAATATAAGTGCTGATATGTGCAGTACATTTTTCAATCCAGGATGGGTAACTTCAGTAACTATGGATGGTATTTCAGAACATTGTTTAAATAAAGAGCCAGAACAGAGTGAGATAGCAAATGATTTTGTGATTTAAATGCCACTCAAGAGGAAATTAAGAGAAAGCAAGGGTGGCACATAAGACGGGAAAAAATTAAAGAGAAAAGGTGTCAAAAGTTAAATAGTACGCTACAATGCAAAAATTCAGTATTTGCATCCCTTAAAATTTTCTAAAGTTTCATTCTCTTGATCTATAAAGCAAGCATACCGGATAAATAAAAATTAACTTCCACAGAAACTTAGGAGACAGCTGCTATCGTCAGACCTCAAGTTAAAGTGACTTTATGGAAATACAAGATAATGTTGATGTTTGAATAATCTTCAATAAAAAGTTCAAAATATCTTTTATTCTCGGTGGTGAATGGCATGTTTATTTAGAAGCATATTTAACTTGAAATTTGGTCGAGTAAAGAAACTAGAGTTGATGCCTTTTCAATAGCAAGTTCTGAAGACTCATTTGGGTAATAAGACATTAAAGAAGTTTCGCAAAGAGCTTGCATAGAATATGAACTCTTGAATGAATATAGGCTCTTGTATGGTAATTTATTCGTACAATAATCAACACAAATTTTGATTGCAAGCTCTTTATTAATCGTTAAACCAAAAGTAGAAACTGCACCTTGTTTCTGGGTCTCATTCAAAATTTCAACAATGGATTTCTTTGGGAAAGATCCACTCTTAAGCATGGTCTTGGATGTATAGTAAAATCTGATGGCTTTTGCAAATAACAAAGGAGCTGTCATATACTTCTTAAGATATCTCTCAGCATTAAATACTGAAGTTGAACCACCAAAGAAGTTAAATCTCTTTGACGAATCAATAAGAGTTTTTGTTGCATTCCAAGCATTGGATCTGCTTGTGTAGCATTTAATGAAGGAAGAACAGATTTCTTGAGCTTGCTCGTTTGAAACTGAAACTTGGTGATACTTTCCAGAAGTTAAAATCGCAACACAGCTTTTTTTCATCCTATTTTTTGTAGATTCAAGCTTTCTGAAGATTCTATACCAGGTTCTTACAATTGCATTTCTTCCAATAACCCTAGTTGCAACATCAACAATTTGTGGGAATTGAAGGAGACCATACATTTCATTAAATTCCTCTGAGTCAATATTAGATGAGGAAATGGAAAAGATTTTACGGGAAAGACAAATAGAGGCAGAAGATGTGGATTCTGAATGACCATAAAAGACCAAGTACTGTCCAAATCTCGGAATTTCAGTAGAAAAACTTCTTCTGGGGTTGAATGACATAGAATATTGGAAAGGCAAAAGCTCAGCAGTAAGGGGTGGATATATTACAGATCTTTCAGAATGAATAAATCTTGTTACAAGAGGGATCTCATTAAAAGCATCAACTAGTCCTCTAATTGAAGGATACTCATTAATTATTCCCGGGAACAAAGTATTAATCAAATTTGCAAATTCATAAACAAATATATCTGGGATTGTAACATCACTTCCAAAAGTTAAGGGACCATCATATTGTTGTACCTGACTTTTAACAAACTCCTCAACCTGGAAAATAGTAATAATTGGCCCACTAGTAATATCACCATCAGTAAAAAAATCGGGTGAGTTTAAAACAGCCTCAACAGATCCTTCTTTTCCCATTAAATGCTGTACCCAACCGGAAAATAAGTTGTTTGCTGTAACACTAGCACTCATGATTTGATTTTCTGGAATTGCCAATCCTTCACCAAGAAGTTTAGGATTATACTTTTTTGCCAAATAAATCATAAGATCTAAAGTTTCTGTCATAAATTTAGTTGTTCTTGTATTAGTACAATCAACTAAGAATGGCAAATTTGGAGTAGAATTGGGGTCTATTTGCGCAATTAAAGATTTGTGCCTACCAAACCAATTCGCGAAATCAAATGCACCTTCAGAGTTGTAACCACCAAATGCATGCCCAATATAAGGAAGCTGTGAAAGCTCAAATACTAGGCGCATCAAATTGCCTCTACCTCTAAACCCATCCCAATATCCAAAGTGGAGATCAATTCCTGGATACATTTCAGGGTATTTGCAAAAATCGAGTTCTTTTGTAATATCATCGTCTCCAGCAAGTGTGTAATGGAAGCTGGAAGCAAAAATAGTTGAAAAAACAAATAAATATCTAATAATATTTTTCATTGTATCTTTCCGTCAAATATGAAACAGATATGTTTTTCTGGGAAAGTAATTGTTTACGATTATTTTATTTTCAGGTGACTCTAGTTTTGTCTCGAACAAAAAAAAACTTGATTGAAAAATTAGAAAATCTATGTAATGTCTACTTTAAGTAATAAAAATTATTTTAATAATAATTTAATTTCTTTTTTTTTCGCACCTAATTATTGTATTAATATGGTGTTTTATGTCTAATGTGTATATTTTTTTTTAAATCAATTTACCCCCACTTTTGTTATATTTACAAGTTTAAATAATAATATTATGATGCAATTTGGTGGTACCAACAGCAATCGGCCATACTATA